CCAATGTCAAGGAGCTTTCCCCTGTGTTTTTTTTTTTTCCTAGGAGTTTTATGGTTCCAGGTCTTGCACTTAAGTCTTTAAACATTTTGAGTTCCTTTTTGTGAGTGGTGCAAGATAAGTTCCAGTTTCATTCTATTGCATGTGGATATCCAGTTTTCCTGACACCATTTATCAAGGAGACTGCCCTTTCCCAATTACATATTCTCAGCGCCTTGGTTGAAGATTAGTCGATCCAATATGTGAGGGTACGTTTCTGGGCTCCCTCTTCTGTTCCACTGGTCTGTATATCTGTTTTTATTTTTTAACGTTCATTCATTTTGGAGAGAGACAAAGAGTGCAAGTGGGGAGGAGCAGAGAGGGAGGGAGACACAGAATCTAGGCTCCAGGCTCTGAGCTGTCAGTACAGAGCTCGGCATGGGGCTCAAACTCACAGGCCAGGAAATCATGACCTGAGCCGTAGTTGGATGCCTAACCGACCGAGCCACCCAGGTGCCCCTGTATATCTGTTTTAATGCTAATACCATTTTGATTACAATGCCTTTGTAATATAATTTGAAATCACGAAGTGTGGCACCTCAGCTCCGTTCATTTTGCCCTAGATTGCATTAGCTATTCACAGTATTTTGTGGTTCCATAGAAAGTTTAGGATTGTTTCTTATTTTCTGTGAAAAAAAAAAAAAAAACCACCATTAGAATTTTGATAGAGATTTCATTGAATCCATAGATTGCTTTGTGTAGTATGGATATGTTAACAATATTCTTCTAATCGATGAACACAGATATCTTTCCATGTATTTGTGTCCTCTTCAATTTCTTTCATCAGTGTTTTTCAGTTTTCAGTGTACAGATATTCACCTACCTGGTTAAATTTATTCCTAAGTGGTTTACTGTTTTTGACGGTATCATAAGGAGACTGTTTTCTTAATATCTTTTTTGGATAGCTCATTGTCAGTGTATAGAAATGCAACTTATTAGTTTTAAAACAGTTTTCTGGTGGAGTCTTTAGGGGTTTCTATATATAAGATCATGTGATCTGCAGAGATAATTTTAATTCTTCCCTTCTGATCTGGAGGCCTTTCATTTCTTTTTCTTGCCTAATTGCTCTGGCTAGGACTTCTAATACTGTATTGAATAGAAGTGGCAAGAGTGGGTGTCCTTGCCTTGTTCTGGATCTTAGAGGAAAAGTTTTCAGCTTTTTGCCCTTGAGTATGATGTTGGCTGTGGGCTTGTCATATAATGGACTTTATTATGCTGACATACATTCCATCTGTATCTACTTTGTTGAGAGTTTATTTTTTATCATGAAAGGCTGTTGGATTTTGTCAAGAGATGCTTTTTCTGCATCTATTGAGACCATATAATTTTATTTTTTATTTTGTTAATGTGGTGTATGTATCACATTTATCAATTTGCTTATGTTGGACCACCCTTGCATCCCAGGGATAAATCTCACTTGGTGTATGATCCTTTTAATGTGCCACTGAATTCAGTTTGTTAGTGTTTTTTTTTAATGTTTATTTATTTGAGAGAGAGAGAGCGTGAGTGGGGGTGGGAGAGGGAGGGAGAGATAGAGGGGAAGGGGGGGAGGGGGAGAGAGAGAGAGACAGAGAGACAGAGAGAGAAAGGGAGAGAATATATCTGAACTATGAGATCATGACCTGAGCAGAAATCAAGAATCTGACACCTAACCCACCAAGCTACCCAGGTGCCCTAGTTTGTTAGTATTTTGTTGGAGATTTTTACATCTATGCTCATCAGGGAGACTGGCCTGTAAATTTCTTTTCTTGTAGTGTCCTTGGGCTTTGATATCAGGGCAATGCTGGCCTCATAAAATGAAGTTGGGAGTGTTCCCAACTTTTCAATTTTTTGGAAGAGTTTGAGAATGTATTAATTTTTTGAATGTTTGGTAGAATTCACCAATGAAGCCAACTTCATTATGGTGACATACATTCCGTCTATATCTAATTTGTTGAGAGTTCTTTCTTTTATCATGAAAGGAGGTTGGATCTTGGAAGCTTTTATTTGTTGGGGGTTTTTGATTACTGATTCAATCTCCTGCTTGTTACTGGGCTATTCAGATTTTCTATTCCTTCTTCATTCAGTCTTGGTTAAGCTGTAGGTTTCTAGAAATTTATCCATTTTTTCTAGGTTATCCAATTTTTAGTGTATAATTGTTCATAGGAGTCTCTTATGACTCCTTGTATTTATGTGCTATCAGTTGTCATGTTTCCTCTTCCATTTCTGATTTTTATTTATTTATTTATTTTTCTCTTAGTCTAACAAAAGGTTTGTCCATTCTGTTTATCTTTTCAGTAAAATAACTCTTACTTTCATTGATCTTCTCTATTGTTTTTCTAGTCTCTATTTCTGTTCTGACCTTTGTTATTTCCTTCCTTCTGGTAACTTTTGGCTTACTTTCTTCTTCTTTTTCTAGTTCCTTGAGGAGTTAGTTTGTTTAGTTGAGATCTTTCTTTCTCCTTAATGTAGGCATTTATCACTATAAGCTTCCCTCTTAGAACTGCTTTCACTGCATCCCATAAGTCATATGTCTGTTAAGTCCGTTTAGTCTACAATGTAGTTCAAGTCCAATGTTTCCGTACTGATTTTATGTCTGAACAATCTACCCGTTGTTGAAAGTGCAGGACTAAACGCCCATAAGAATCAATTTCTTATCACGTTCGCAGTTTGTCACCCTTCTGTGAACTCTCTCCAATTTTCTCCACGTCCTTTCCAAGCCCCGGGAGTAACATGCATTCTGAATCATGATGTAGATAAAGTACATATGGCTTTTTAAAATCCCTGGGTGTTCTATTTCAGTTAATAGCAAACAAGATAATTTGAACCACTGTTTCCACTGAGAGCAACTACAAGAGCTGGGCAAAAGATAAAAACATAAAATAAAACACAACAAAATCGGCTGCTTAATGGCATCAGATAGATGCCATGGCAGTGACGAGGGCCAGAATCTGGTGGAAGACATCCAAGAGGTGAGCCTGGTACTTGGTGAGCCACATTTCCCCAAAAGGCACCTGAGAAGCTGAGTAGCGCATCTGACAGACTGACAAAGATAGAGTGAATCTGACAAAAACTGGAGTCCTATCCTTCTGAGGAAGACTATGGAAACACCTTAGGCTCTGCATTAGAACCTTAGGGAAAAAAAGGCCACCAGAAAACAGACTAATCCTCACAGGAATTGATTCCCGGCTTCAAATCACCTTTACTCCTGACTGGGCTACAGTGACCTGGAACTGCTAATGCCCTTGCCTAGCCACTGACCAGATGTAAGTTCATCAGCTCTGAAGGATGACAGCCTCCTCAAGAGCATCTCAAATGATCTCTACACTTTTTTGTTGCCCATGTCCATCACTCAGTAAAAAAAAAAAAAAATAGATGCGCAGAAGATAAACAATAAAGTTTCTAGAAGATAAGAGAGGAAACTGGTTTCGTGACTTTGGGGTAGAGAAAGATTTTCACAACAGGACACAAAAACTACTAACCAGAAAAGATCAATAAATTGGATGAAGGCCTTTTGTTTATCAAAAGAGTCTATTTAGAAGTGAAAAGGCAAGTCACAAGGAGAGATTTTTGTATCACATATAATTAGCAAAGTACTCACATCCAGGAATACCTAAGGAATGCTTACAAAATGGTAAGGAAAAGGTAGGCAGCCCAAAAGAAAAATGGGCAAGAGACTTGAACAGGTGCTTCATAAAGGAACACACCAAATGGCCAGTAAATATATGGAAAGATGGTCAACCTTATTAGTCATCAGAAAAATGCAAATTAAAACTATAATAAAATACCACTATAAACTCAATAGAATTGCTAAAATTAGCAAGACTGACAACACCAACAGTCAGTGGGGATGTGGAGCGACTAGAACTCTCATACCCTAGAGGTGAGTGTGTAACGTGGTACTACCATTTTGTAAAACTGTTTGGCACTATCTTTTAAAGTTGAACCAATGCATGTCCTATTACCCAGCCATTTCACTCCTGGGTATATTCCCAACAAAAAATTATATGTATACGTGCACCAGAAGACATGGACAAAAATGCTCATAAACAGTATTCTTTTTTGAGATGGGGGGAGGGGCAGAGGGAGAGGGAGAGGGAGCGAATCCCAAGCAGGTTCCATGTCAGCCTGACGCGGGGCTCGATCTCATGAACTGTGAGTTCATGACCTGAGCCAGAATCAAGAGTCAGACGCTTAGCCGAATGAGCCACCCAGGCGCCCCCGTAGCTGTATTTTTCATACTAGCTCTAAACTAGAAACAATCTACGTGTTCATCAACTATCAATGGTAAGTAAATGGCGGTATACTCATACAGTGAAATACTATACGGCAATGAAAACAGGTGAACTAGAGCTACACGTGACAACATGGATGAGTCACACAAATGATGTCAAGCGAAATAAACCAGACACTAGGATATATATAGTCTGCAGTCCCATTCATACAGAGTTCAAGAATTTTTTTTTATGTTTTCCAAGACTGTATGCGAACTACCTACCCATTAGATCATGATGTCAAGTTAAACTATGAGAATGAACTTTTGGGTTTTTAAGTTTCACCTGAGGGCCAAGCGAATCTCCTAGTGTAGAGTTGGCCATGCAGGTGGCCCATAGAAGTGACCTTCCCCACACGGATAAAGTGCTCAGGTTCTACTTTCCTTCCCGACCGCGGCACCTTTCATCGTGTGATTTTAACTAATTCACCTGCGTAGGCTTATTTCCCTTGGTCATAAGAGCCACCCAAGTCTACCAGGCTGTGGGGTAGCTACCCTAATGATGTACTAATGATTTCTCTTGGCCAGAGAGATGTTTGCCGGGACTACCTATGGTTGAACGATCATTGCCTGTGGCCCAAGAGAGGCATGACTGCACCTTATAGCATGCACACAGCCTTCCTTACTCGTCAGAAGTTGTTCACGGATGACTCAACAAGAGAATTTCATCACCGCTGTTTCACGAGTACAGGGAGGTCACTGAAAAGGATACTTGTGGTCAAAGCTGTACCACAGCCTGAAGAGCCACGCACTCTCCTGCTTCGTCCGGTTCCCTCTGGCAGAATCCGGACCATCCTAGGAACAGACAAGAGGACAGACGCTTAGTTGGAGAAAAGGGAATGAAATGGGGTGTGGGGAGGGGGACGGAAGCTTCTTTTTTAACCGTAAGTTTTAGAGATTTTGAGCTCAGAGTCAAACATCCTATATCACCAAAGTTTTAGATACACTAGGAGGTAATGCCTTTTTTAAAATTTAAATTCAAGTTAGTTAACATATAGTAGAGTATTGGTTTCAGGTAGAATTTAGTGATTCATCACTTACATGTAACGCCCAGTACTCATCACGAGTGCCCTCCTTAATGCCCATTGCCCATCTAGCCCATCCTAACCTGTCGCCAAACCCAATGCGTTACCATCACCTGGAACGCTGCAGCTCTTGTCGAGGAGACTCGGGTAGGTCCCAAGAAGGACCATTACAATGAGTAAAGCAAAGGAAAGCTTTCTTTCTGAAGACAAACTAACAAAAGGTCTTCAGAGAGCTCTGCCTGCCGTCCACAAGGAAGATAAAGGGACCTTGAATGCAAGAAACTAAGAGACACCTTGTAGCCCTGAAATGTTACGAGTTGTAAGTTCCGAGCAAATATCAGGTATGACTTTGTAACAGGGGTGCCTAACAACTTCTCGTTCTGAGAGATGGTGCCAGAAGCAGGACTAGGTACAGGAAGAATGTGGATAAATCCATGTATGGTGGCTTTGGAGAAATCAGGGGAAGTGTCTGCCCACAAAGCGGGGACCTGATCTCTCACCATACCCCCTCCCCAAACCTGCATTCCCACGGGAGGGTTTACACCCCATGTCTTCAGCGCAACATCCTTTCGTACGGTCACCTTCTCCCACTGACAACACCTTGCCGGGGCGATCCCTATTCATCCTTCAGGGCTGGGTACAAGGCTGGCCTCTCTGAGAAATGTTTCAAAGGCAACACAGCAGTCCAAGGGGTATACGTAATGAGTGTCACAGGCTTCCTCAACCAACTATGGGGGTCCAAATCCTAATTCTACCCCTGGCTGTGCCATTGTCTTGTTGTGTGACCCTGTTGTATGATTACCACTGTAGCATTAGCGAACATCTATTTCCTGTCACATAATTATCAGTTGTTGTTGTTTTTTTTTTTTTTTTGGCGACACAGTGCTGTTGATTGTACTTATTATGTTGGGCATGAGATCTGCAGCACGTATTTATCTATTAGCTGCAGATCTGTCCGCTTAAACATCCCCCCAATTCTCTTGCCCCCGAACTCCTGGTCACTCCCATTCTACCCTCTGTTCTTGTGAGTTACACATGGGATTTATTCTTAAACTTTGTATTGACCTTACTAAGAGAGAAGCCCCTTGAAGAAAATACCGCTGGCTCTCCTTATCACCAGTTTTCAGGGATATAACAATGAGTGTATTTTTTTTCTGCATACATTAAGCACCTACTGTGTGCCAGGCACCATGATGGGTACTGGAGACAAAAAGGAATGATGTTAGCACTTGCCCCTCAAGGAGCACGTTTCCTAGGTGGGGGGGGGCGGGGCGGGGAGAGCGGGGGAAGACAGACAGATATGTATACAGTGACAAGTGTGATGAAGAAAAAGAAAGCAGATTAAAGAACTGAGTTCTTACTGTAAAAGATAGAAAAGTTTAACCTTAAGGTCAGTAGAGTAGTGAGAACAGCTTATGGTTTTTTTTCAGAGGTAGAGCAGCACACTGCCCCCCTCCCCCGCAAAGATTTCTATCTCCGAATCCCTGGAGCCTGTATGTTATGATACCCGGCAAAAGGGCTTTGTAGATGGACTTACAGTTTTCTAGGAGGCCCAGTGCAATCACACAGGTCCTTAAAAATAGACAAAGAGGGCAAAAGAGAGAGTTGCGGTGGAAGAAGGGGCAGGAAGGATTCGAAGTGTGACAGGGATGCACCCTGCTGTTGCTGACTTTGAAGACAGAGGGGGCCACAGAGCAGGAAATGCACGTGCTTCTAGGACACGAGCTTGCCCCTGGGCCAATGGTCAAGCAAGGAAATAGGACTGTAGTCCTATAACCACACGGAACTGAATTCTGCCAGTAGTCTGAATGAGTTTGGCAGGGGGTTCTTGCCCAGAGCCCAACCCCACCCAACGCCTTCATTTTGGCCTTGAAACGGAGAAACCAGCGGAGTCCACCAGACTTTTAACCTACAGAATATAAGACTGTTGGTTGAAGCCACTGAGTTTGTGGGGATCCGTTACTGTGGCTCTAGAAGTCTAATGCAGAACAAAAGAGTAAAATAAGTGATATGACCCAGTTTGGGCCTTTTTCATGTCCCTGGGATGGTGGGGCCAACGCTTCTCTGAAGGGAGTATAACAGGTTTTAAAAATGCGGGTTCAGGTTCAGTGGGTCTAGATGGGTCCTGACAGTCTGCATTTTTACAAGCTCTCTGATGATGCCCAGGCTTCTGGTCCATGGGGACACTCGGGGCGGCAAGGACAGATCTACTGATCTCACATCTGGCAGTCGCCACTCTTACCCTTCCCCACATTGTCACCACACCCTTAAGGATGTGGATTCATGTGTCCCCTTTGCAGATGTATCCCCAGAGCCTGAAAGAATGTCTGAAATAGAACAGGTGCTCAGTACGCATTTGTCAAATGAGTGAATTAATGTTAATTGTGAAATTCTAGGAAAAAAAAAAAAAAGAATAGCCAAAAGGGAAATTTGGGACCAAGGGACGCAATCAGAACAAAAAGAAAAGCGTGGTGGGGGTGGGGGAGTCAAAGAGTAGGAATTTGAAGAAAAAAAAAAAAAGGCACTACAGCAACTGTTTGATATCAAAGATTTAAGTGACTGGGTATCAGATTTCAGCCTGGAGGAAAGCTGGAGAAGGACCCAGAAGAGTTATAGGTCAATAACAGCTGATTTTCTGCTCGAGGGTGTGCACGCACCCGCACGGTGCTGTCCTTTCCTCCACATTCCATTAATATCCTGCTTGTGATCTTGCCCTGCTGAGATGAGAAAGCCAGGATAAATTCAGAGTCAAAGTGCTCCTAGCTACTCCAAAGCGGCCCCATCGACGAGTGCTCTTCTGTAAACTCGGGGAAGGAAGTGAATGGTTTGTCTGCACGTCCGGCCAACGGCCAACGGCCAACGTCAATCTCAGCTCTGTCTGGCAGGAACAGCTCCCCCCTTGAATGGGGTGAGAGGCCACCCCCAGGCCCAGGCAGCTTGCCTCCAGCTGGGCTTGTTTTTGTTTTGGTTGCAAAGTCACCAAGACCTCCGGAGAAACAAAGCAACTGAGGTTTTTGTTTTGTTTTGTTCTAATGAGTCAAACTTGCCAGGGAGGTGAAGCCGAAGTCTGCCCACGATATTCTTATGCTTCCCTCACAGAAAAGCCAAAAGTCCTAGCCAGAAGCCCCTTTCCCTCGCTCACATGAGCTAACATTCTGGGCTTCTAGATCCAGTGAGGAAAACCGCACTGTCATAACAAATTCGCTCCCGTCAGATGTTCAGATGTCACTTTCCTGTTTGTTTTTCAGAAGATCATTTGGAACATGCGGTGAAGAAAGCTGCCCTTTCTTTGCTGATGGGGAACAAACATCTGGACTTCCCCCATTTAGGATTTCAGTTTCATGACATCACTGAGCGTGTGACCTGGATCCCTTTCAGGGGAAACTGCAAGAACCCAGGATTTCACCCAAAAATGAGGAGCCCATTTATTTCTCTGTTTTCCTGTTGCTCGTGACCACTGAGTGCTCCCAGCCCTGCTGTTAGCGCCTCGCTGGACCGAGAAGGTCAGGCCAGGAGGACTGAGAGAAATAAGGCCCTTGAGGTACAAGGGCATGAGTCACCTTTAAGAAGGTGCCCCGGGAAACCAAACTTGAGGTTCGCCTTTTCCCCCCCTAGTCTGACAGCAATCTTGAAAGACTTTCAAAATGCCAGTGGAGCTCATTTTGACGGCCCTCTGCATGACTGTGTGAGAGGCTTGGGAGGAGGGAGGTCAAGGGGCTGATGTGACAGCAGATCCTGGTTAGAGGCAGCCAACGGGTGCCACTGGGAGTTCAGCAGAAGTCACCAGCGCCTGCCCATTCGCAACTGGCCCAAAGGGCCCTCCAGGGAGCCATCGGGAACACTGATGACCCCTCCGGACCCATCTAGGGAGGCTCCTGAAACTCACCCCGCCTGGGGCAGGGTGCATTATCTTAGCTGTCACTGCATGGGCTGAATGCAGTGCCAGAGCCCTTGGCACTTGGGACCCACAGCTTTCTCAAACATTTCCATGGAGAAGTGACAAGCCAGTTTGTTTCTAAGTCTCGTTACAAGCCAAGCGTTGCCATGTGAATTTCTTCTGAGATGAACAGTAGGTTCCGCCACATGAAACCAACCAAACCATTTCAGGTGCTTCCTTTCAGACATGCTTAAATCCAGAGGCAGGGGCAATTAAAACAACAACAACAACAACAACAATAACAACAACAGCAAAAGGGCTGGGAAAGTTTGACTCATCTGGAACCGACAAGCTGAAATCTCTCCAAACCCTGGCTATCCAGCTGGAATTGGCCTGTTTTTCTCACAAAATTCATCTTGACCAGCCACGGTCCTGGAGAGGAGGCTTTGGAATAGGGCAGTCATATCCCACCAGAGCCATTCTTTTCCATTGAGTGAAATAAAGACACTTCACCCAGGGTTTTCTTATAGTGAGTTTTAAGATCTCCCTAAGGGTTATACACTAAAGTTTATTTATTTATTTTTGAGGCGGGGGGAGGAGGGAGGGAGAGAGACGGAGTCACAGAATCCGAAGCAGATTCCAGACTCTGAGCTGTCAGCACAGAGCCTAACGCGGGGCTCCAACTCACAAACCGTGAGATCATGACCTGAGCCGAAGTCGGGCGCTCAACCGACTGAGCCACCCGGGCACCCCTAAGTGTTATACTCTAAATTAGCTTCTAGGTGCACAAGTCCTGAATGCTTGTTTTCCAAACTCCTCAATCAAAACTAGAGTCCAATGGCAACTTTTCACAAAGAATTTCTCATTGAAACTTCAAGCTCCCAACACAACGCCCAGTTCTAATAGAATCTCTTCTGAAAATGTCCAGGTCTTTCAGAGGTCGTGGTTTTGTGTCCCTGAAGGAGCATCACCACCAAGATGTGACCACCCCTGCGAAGGAGATCCGAAAAAGCCGTAGCGGCACCTCCCGGCCCGGCACAGCACAACACTTTGCAACACTTGCTAAATCTGGTGTGCAGGATGGAGCCGTTTAGAAGGTCCCCTGGAATCTTCAATATGTAGCCTGGATTTAGGATTCGGTGCAATTCCAAGCTGACTGGAAAAGAGGGAAATGCCCGCCATGGCTTCAAGCACGACACACACGAGGGGTCGGGAACCTTGCCGGCGGTACTGTTAACTCCTGCCGTCCCCCCATCTGCCCATCAAATACCCACCGAGAACACCCCACCCACCCCACCTTCGTTGCCAGGCACTGTGCTCAGCGCTGGAGATTCCGTCCCAAATAAAAGACTTCCTGATGCCTAAGGCCAAGTAATAGCATTTTGTAACAAATGTCTGCTCCTGTCATAACCCTTCTTCGCCCAACCTTGCCTGCCCGGGGAAATGCCAGCCTCGGGAAGGGGCGAACCTGAACACATGACAAGGGTGTCGCGGCAGCTCAGAATCACGTCTGCCCCTTTGTTGACGCTCCTCCCATAAAGAGGTGACAGTCCCTCTCCCCTCCCCCTTGAATCTGGGCTGGCTCAAGCAGCTCACTGTGACCGCCAGAAAGTCACAGATGTGACGCCGGGAGACATCCAGGGTCAGGAATGGCCATGTAGCTTCCGCCTTGCCTGCTGGGACGCTGGCTTTCGGAACCCTGAGCCATCGTGTAAGAAGTCCGATACCCCGAGGCCACGTGGCCGAGCCAGGCGCAGGCGTTCCGGCCGGCTGCCCTAGTCTTTGGGGTTCTCCCAGCCCAGGTGCCAGATACAGGAGTGAATGAGTCTTTGGATGATGCCAGCCCCCAGCTTTCTACTCGGAGCAAAGGCAAGCAGCCCGTATTCTGCCCTTTCCGACTTCCTGGCCTCGAGAATCCATGAGCCAGAGGATCTGCTGCTCACTTTCCTATGCCTGGTGCGGTTTGTTATATGCAGCAACAGTAACCGGAGCAGATTCTCTGCAGCAGCGGGGACGACTCTTCCCTGCCGGTCACACTCGATGCTGCCACGGGGCTCCTCTGCTGGCAGCCTCGACAGCTGCCCTCCCTGGCACTCTGTCCCAGGCCGTCCCGGCTGGCACCACCCCGCCTAAGCCTTAACCATTATGACCTTCAGCCCCTACGGTGGGAGGTGGGGGGTAAGAGTCTTGTTCTCTGCCGTTAGCGGGCTCGAGGGGAACTCAGTTGTAGAGGATTCCAGCCCCCGGAGAACAGGACGGCCTGTGATCAGCCACATCCTTCCTCTCTTCCTCAGATTCCCTGCACTGGAGAGTCAGACCCCAGCCCTCTCCTTCCCCTGTGTGGGCACCACTGACAGACTCTGACCCAGTGACGGCGAGCCCACCACCAGTGTATTCAAATACCCATGCTCGGAAAGTAGGCAGTCAGAGACTTAGCTTGAATGCTCTTCCTGGCCGGCCTACCCCTCAATATGTTGTTTAAGAACGTTGACTCCACGGTCAAGTCCCGCCTTCATGACTTTCTAATTCTCCAACTGTAGACGACTCACTTAGACTCTCAAACTCCAGCTTCTAATCTGTAAAATGGGGATAACGGTACCTACCTCATGAGGTTGTTATCATGCTCACAGTGAGGGAATCCATGTAAAGATGCCTGGCATGTAGTAAATGCTCAATACATTGTAGCTATTTTAAAAACAGTTTACTTATTTTGAGAGATAGAGCAACCATGCACGTGTAAGCAGGGGAAGAGCAGAGAGAGAGGGAGAGAGAACATGAGCAGGGGAGGGGCGCAGAGACAGGGAGAGAGAGAATCCCAAGCAGGCTCTGCGCTGTCAGCACAGAGCCCAACGTGGGGCTAGAACCCATGAACCGTGAGATCATGACCCGAGCTCAAGCCGAGCTGGACGCTCCACCGACTGAGCCACCCAGGCGCCCCAACTTTAGCTGTTTTTAACAATGTCTTCCCCCGGAAGGAGCAGCTCTTGTGACTTACCCCTTGTAAGACTTGAAAGCTGTCGTTGTTGGGTGGTGGGTCTTGATCTGGGTCAACACCGACTCTAGAAGTCGCCAGGGAGAAAGACAAGGAGAAAAACGGAGAGTGTTAGCTTGGACCGTGGCGGCCATGCTGGCGGCAAGTAGCCAAGAGGGCTGACCATCTCCCGGAAGCGGAAGGACTAGTTAGCTAAGAGAAGAGGAAGGCCGCCATGCAAAAGTCGTGAGAAAGAGGTCACGTACCATGCCAGAGCCCAGGGGGCAGAAGAGGCAAGAAGTCCCGTGTGCTCACACCCTACCCTGGCCTCTGGGGAACGGCACCAGATGGTCCGAGTTATCCGAGGGGGGATCCCGCTGCCCCCCACCTTTTCCTTTCTGCTGCTTCCTCCCCTCTGCCCTGACCTTTGAATTCCCCAAACATCTGCTACGGGATGTTTCACATGTCCAGGGAAGTGCTGGAGGAATTCGTAGTGAACACCTAGACGCCACCGTTGATATTTTGCTGGAGTTTCTTTATCGCATATCTAGCCATGTCTCTATCGGCTAATTTTTCAGAGGCATTCAAATAAAGTTGCAGCCATCCGTACACGTGGCCTCAGTACCCGAGCGTGCACATCATTAACGTTTTATCCTGGTGGCCCCCGCGTCCTCCTGCAGCAGAGACGACCTGAGAACCGGCACATTCGAGATCAACAACTGAAGGCAGACGGAAAAGGCCAAGTGGCGAGATCCGCTCAAATCCCATGCGTCTACTGGGGTTGAGCTGCCCTGTACCTTCCTCACTCGGAGGCAGAGAGCTGTGATGCCCATGACACGGAGAGCATGGGGAAATGGGGGAGAAAACAAAGAGGCCAGGAACATTCTCTGTCTTCCCTCACTCCCTCGGGTGCTGCAAAGAACTGTAAACTGAGAACGCGGCTTTTTTTGTTTTTTGTTTTTTGTTTTTTTTGGGGGGGCAGGTGTAACTTGAGCTTAAAGGGAGGTACCAAGTGGCCTCAACCAAGGGTCTCTGCAGCCCCGTGTGCACACCTTACTTTTCTCCCTCTCCCTCCCTCTTTCCCACCTGTGAGGCCACGTCACGTCTTGAGAAAAGAGACGAATGGAAAAGGGAAATAGAAGACAACCTCCTCGCAAAGCCAACCTCTGCCCTGTCTCATTCCAGGTCTGTCCGGCACTCACCCAAGACGTGGAGCCCTGGAAAGGGGCGCTCTGGAGGGAAAGGGGACAGATCTCCCAGATGTCACGGAAGGCGGAGTTGAAAACCACAGGATGAATGCACACATCTGGCAAATATTTGCTGAGTGCCTACTCTTCTAGCTAAAACCTAGTGTACCTGACACAAGAGTTCCTCCCTACGGGCCTGGGGCTTGGGAGGACCTTTGCAGGGAGTTAGATGGACTTTGCTCTGTGTCTAGGAGCTGCCTCCAGGCAGGAGGTTCTGAGGCTTGGAGGCTTGTCGTCATCACCGGACGTTATCCGGGGGACCTCTGTGCAACAAATCTCACAGAGATTTTCTGACCGGAAATCTGTCCAATTCAGGGGCCTCAGGGCTGCCCCTTAAAAACGTCACACCAGGGCCTCCATGTACCCGATGTGTCTAATGCATCAGAGTGCTAGAGGAGGGGTCGCATATGGGCTTCCTTGCTCTTGATTTTGAGCCCTCACCTGTTTTGGAGACTCTGAACGAATGAACATACAGTTCGCAGAGAAAAGTCCTCTGTATGGTGAGTTTGTCAGCATTTGTAAGATCAACGGCTAGGAGTCCAGTATGAGGCCTTGCTCTTTGGCTTCTACAGCAGCACGAAGCCACTTAATGGCAGGCTAGTTCACTTGGATGAGCTCCCCCATGCACACTCAGAGGGGCGGAGCAGTGGTTACCCCGGCATTTCTCAGACGGCCTGCCAGAATGCCAGGTGACACAGCAGTCCTCGGCCTAACCAAAAGGCCTAACCATACCGTGGGGCAGGAGCAATGAGATTATGGGATCTGAAGGGCATGGAATGCAGTATGGCCAAGGACATGGCGGCCCAGACCTGCCACTCATAATCTCTCCTTTCTGTACTGTGAATTTCGAAACAGGTGTAATGAGCCTTCATAAGTGGCTTCTATGTCAGCAAAGATGAAACAAATGGACTTTGCTGGCCTAGATGAAATAGGAAGGCGACGGGTAAGAGAAAAGGTCACGTATGCCCTGTATTACGATAACGAAAACAAAACCAAATACAATAAAAGCTGCCACATGAAATTTAGCCCCCTCTATTCTTTTGACGAATCTCTATTAAGAGGAAAACAACTTGTTTCACAAGAATCAAATTCTGTGGAACAAGAGCTGCTTAGAAAGACTAGGTGGTGTCTATTCTCACTCGAGTCCTGACAATGTCAGTGGAACTCTTTCTCCTGGGCCCGCCGTGGCCAGGCCGGAATGCAAAACAACAACGCACAACACGTTGAAAGGACTTGATAAACTCACAAAAGTAGGGCCACCTTAACCTCATCTCAAACCCGCAATGTTCAACATTTTGTTTGGGGGAACCTGGGAATGATTCCAGATCCACGCTGTCCAGCAGAACGTTCTACAACGATGGTAGTGGTCTAGATCTGCGCTGTCCAATGTGCTAGCCACGGGCCACATGGGGCCGGCCACTGAGCAGTTGAAATTTCACTCAGTTTCACACCAAAAGAGAAAACAAAGCAAGCAAACGAGTGTGCTCATTCTGGAATGAATAAATACAGAAAGAAGGTGAATAATTTCCCTTCTGGTCTAAGTACCTTGGGATCAGCTGCTGTATAAAATGCCATGAAATGCCAGGAATTTTAGAAGTGTTCCACTTTAATCGATAACTTTTCAAAAATTTGAATGGCTGAGGTCCTAAATAATTGGAGGACCATGAGACACATACCTTCATGCAAAACCCTGAACATCAGATCATAGTCGGAATTCTCGAACGTCCCAAGGGTAATAACTTGTACTTTGCCCAAAGGACCTTCCTTCCTGAAGGTGGGATATTTCAAAAGAAAGGGTTTCCTCTGCAACTTAACTGGTACCTACAGTCAGGTCTCCAAAAGTTAACGTGTGTGTGTGTGTGTGTGTGTGTGTGTGTGTGTGTATGTGTTTGCGCATGCATGTGTATTTTAAACAGTAGAGAAAAATGTGAACACAGGGAATTTAACAGCTTCCTTTAATTATATGCACATCATTACAGTATATCTGGAGCCCGGTGATACCGTGATGAACATGCCTGATGACAGGCATCGCTATTCTCTCTGCTGCCCTCAGTGACGTACTTTCACAGTGGCGAGAACAGAGTTCAAGCCTATTCTGCGCTGGTTTATCTACCAGCATTGAGAATCAGATCAGGAAGGAAAAAAAGAAACATTCAAGTCTTTGCTCTGCTTGCTCAACATTGCCACTCTTAAGCCTAATCCAATCGTAAACTTGGATGAACACTGAGAAACAAACTGCATTAAAAGAGTCTTTATCTTCTGGTTTAAAAAACAACTCTTTTTTTTAAACCAGAAGATAAAGACCTTTTGGGATGAGCACTGGGTGTTGTATGGAAACCAATTTGACAATAAATTTCATATACTGAAAAATAAATAAATAAAATAAAAAAAATAAAATAAAAAACAACTCTTTTTGTAACTTCTGATTCACCATAAGGTACAAGTACACAAATACAGACTTAAAAATCTAAGAGAGCGTTGGTGCTTGATTAAGACTGATTCTCCAGTCACGGTGGAAATATCAAATGCTAGTTCTCTTGGGGCGCCTGGGTGGCTCAGTCAGTTAAGTGTCGGACTTTGGCTCAGGTCATGATCTCCTGAGTTTGAGCCCTGGGTTGGGCTCTGTGCTGACAGCTTGGAGCCCGGAGCCTGCTTCTGATTCTGTGTCTCCCCCACTCTCTCTCTCTCTCTGCGCCTCCCCCATTCGCACTCTGTCTCTCTGTCTCAAAAATAAATAACCATTAAAAAACAATTCTAGTTGTCTTCAGGAGTTAAAAGCCTTGTCTACTAGACCAGAAACAAGACTTTGTGGGAAAAGATCCGTGGCTCTGAAAATGGAGTGCTGTCAACGCTAAGCTCAGTGGTAAAAGAAGGGAGAGACACTTGCCATCTCCGGCCTTGGTGTTGACACACGTTGTCCAATATGCAGGGCAAGGGGACAGAATCTCAGGAACACCGACACATCAATCAACCCAGAGAAAGGGCGGGAAAAAGGGTTAGACGTGACCCGACCTCTTGCCCTTTTGCTGGAAGGGGCAGGGGGGTGGCACACACAGGGAAGAAGAAAGAGACAAAACAGCATGGAGAGAAACATCTCAGGTTAGGAGGAGGAGAGAAGCCAGGCCCGGTTAATTGGTTTCTGAGGACGCCCTTGTGTCACCTGAAGTACTGTGAGCGGCGTTCGTTCTGGTCCTCTTCGGAGGGCTCCTCGACGCCAACTCTGGGCAGCAGAAAAAGGGAGTGTGAGTGTGACAGGGACACGGGGGAGCCAGGAGCTACGGACACGGGACCGGGACCACGCCCATCAGAGAACAGGCTGGCTCACCTTGAATATAAACCTGGACCCTCTCTTCAGCTGTCCCCATTGGCTTAAACCCAGAGAGGCCGAGGGCCACCAAACTTAGATTCAAAGCAACAATGGTAGGAGCTAGCTCAAATGAGGATCGACTCGGAAGGAAGACGAGCCTCTCAAGATATAACGGAAGGACACCAGAGGACTAAGTGCAACGCACAGGTGATGAGTTCCTACTTTTCAGGAATTCATTTGTTTCATAAAGCAAGATCCATCCGTAGGAAAACCGGGAGACAAAGTTGTCACTAAACACACACTTGAAGTGTTTACACGTATTTTGACACATATTGGACAGAAACAGCAAAAAGTAAACCATGTTGTCCACAGATCTGACCTGAAGGTCAGGAGCGCAACTGCTGCTATTCTCTGTCTTGTGCCTTAGAGCTGGCACGGCCCATCTGCACCTTCCTTAACAATTTCTGGGTTATTCAGGGTTCATTTGAACTTTGCCATCGTGCTCTAGGAGCAGGATTTCACCATCTTGGCGCTGTTGACATTCTGGGCCCTGGCCTCTGCCTACCAGGTATCAGTAGCATCCCCCCTGCCCCGTTGAGGCAACCAAAAATATCTCCAGACATTGACAAATGTCCCCTGGGAGGCAACCTGCCCTTGGTGGAGAACCACTGCGCTAAATCATGTGCAATACCAATTAGGGGTGCTATTGCCCCCATGGGTGTGAAAATTGGTTCTTAGGAGACAAAAAAAAACCCTTTAGATATTACACTGGTTTCTAGCCCTCTGAAGCATGATAGCACATAAACAGGTACATAGCAGATCTGTGGTATTAAGTTTTCACTGGAAGAGGTCTTTGGGAAAAAGATATTTTTGAAGGACTCCCTGTGGGGGGCGTGGGGGGGGCAATAATGAAAACCAGGAGGGCAAAGACAATGCCCAAACTCTCATGCTACTAACATCCCCTGAAATATATGAGTGAGAATGTGATGCTTCTTCAGGTGCTACTTTTAACTAGTCACACGTTCAGAACGTGACTTAAACCAGACTCTGTATTTTACAGGAGCATTGAAAAAGCGTAACAAATTCCAGAAAAGCGAGCCGGACGCCACCAGTGTAAGAGTCACTAATGACCAGAACAACAGCAAGCGTAGCAGTACTAACGGTGATAGAAGAGCTAAAATACAACAAATGCTTACCCTGTGCCAGACGGTACGTTTAACAAGCAAATTCTTTATCACATTTATTTGTCATCACATTTTGGCCTCACGCTAGTGTCCCCATCGAAACCGGTGAGGGAGAGTGAGTTGACGAGCCTCAATAAGTTGCCCAAGGTCACAAAGGTAGAAAAATGGTGGAATCGCGATGGCGGCGTAGGAGGACGCTGGGCTCACCGCGCGTCCGGCTGATCACTTAGATTCCACTTACACCTGCCTAAATAACCCAGAAAACCGCCAGAGGATTAGCAGAACAGAGTCTCCGGAGCCAAGTGCAGACGAGAGGCCCACTGAAGAGGGTGGGAAGGGCGGCCAGGCAGTGCGCACTCCACGGACTGGCGGGAGGGAGTCGGGGCGGAAGGGCGGCCCGCCGGCCAAGCAGAGACCCTGAGTCTGGCTGGCAAAAGCGGAGGGGCCGGACAGAGTGTGTTCCGACAGCAAGCGGGACTTAGCATCTGGGAGGTCATAAGTTAACAGCTCTGCTCAGAAAGCGGGAAGGCTGGAGGACAAAGGGAAGGAGAGCTGCTAAGCCCCCGGACCTACAGAGCTCAGTTTGGTGGGAAACAAAGGCGCTCGCCAGCACCATCTCCCCCGCCCATCCCCCAGCCAAAATTCCAAAGGGAACCAGTTCCTGCCAGGGAACTCGCTCGCTCCGTGCAAACACCCAACTCTGTGCTTCTGCGGATCCATCCCTCCAGCGGGTCTGACTCCCTC